GTGCCCAAGTTTCTTCTCTTTAGCATAATCTATCCTATGGTTTCAAACTGAAAGATTTTTATGATAGAGTTGAACCTTCTGAACCCCTGAAACCTCTGAAACCAAAACTCAGACAGGCTCTTCCATCTGTAATCCTTTCATATATTCAATCTATGAACAATGAAGGATCCCTAGCAACCATATCTACTACATCTGGTAAAGCTGTTGTTTCAGCTCTGCAACCTGCATCTGATAACACAGTTGCATCTGACAAACCATCAACCTCTGCTTTCATACCATACTCTAATGAAACCTTTGATGTTGTTTACCCACGCACAAGACCACAACCAAATCTGCTTAATGCTTTAAACAGATCCTTACCTCAAAAACCAGAAATTCCTTTCATTCCATATTATCCCCCTCCTCTGATTTCCATCCAAAAATCACTGATACCACCGACTCCCAAACCTAAACATATGACTCTGGAAACCTTGCTTAAACCACCACCCAGACTTAATATTGATCATTTATTTCAAACGTTTTTGCAAGAAATACAGATGTCTTTAGGTACTGTTCAGAAGAGATGCTCTGAAACTATGGATGCAAATGAAACTGACATCATCTGGAAAGGATTTATCAATAGATTCAACACTGTAGCTTCCAATCTGAAGAACGTCTATTCTGATGATGCAAAGCTCAGAGCTGAAAGAACTCAATTCTGGATTGTCAACAAAACTGAACCTCTGCTTTGTTTGGATGCTCCTCCTCCTCCAACAGAACCAACTGCCAATGCATTGACTATGACTCTGGTAGAACCCTCTTCAGGATCTCCAGAACCTATGGCAATTGACTATGTTCAGGCTGCAGAACCTCCATCTTCTTCATCAGAGATAAAGACAGAACATCCAGATTTTGGAGACAAGATTGCTGCTCTGGAGGCTGGTCAGTCTGAAATAAAATCTTGGATGGCGAAGCAAGACAAGAAATCTGAGGACATGACAGAGTGGATGTCAAAACAAGATGAGAAGAATGAGACAATGACTAAGTGGATGTCAAAGCAACAACAATCTTCATCTGAGATTACAGACCTATTGAAGATGCTTTTGTCAAAACACTCTTAGATTTTTTTTTTCATTCTAATGTTTGTGCATATGTTGTTTTGCATCTGAATTTTATTATATCTTTTGATATTTACCTATGTACTCTTGCTCTGTTTTGTTAAATGAATCAGTTTTTCTCCATTGAATTATCTATTTATTGTTCCTTTTACTTGTCTTTTCAAAAGTTGTTACTTTTTGCTTATGACAAAAAAGGGGGAGAAAATAAAGATCTGAACTGTTTAATATAACTTCACTAGAATGAATCTTCAGACATATCTATTCTATCTAATATTTAAATTGACTATTTCAGAACATTTGATAAGAACACTCTATAAAAGATTCTCTGAGTCTCTCAGATCATTTGCTTTTCTATCAAACTCTGAATCTTATATCTGCAAGATATTCTGACCCTAAATTGTTATAAGAACAATCAAGATCTGACTCTGAAGATTACTCAAGATAAAAAGGGAAGTTTCTATTCCTTTTTCATTTTTAACTCAGGGGGAGATTCATCATCTCAGGGGGAGTTATAATTCTTTATGTTCAGTTAAATAAAATTTCTGATACTTTTTGTCATCATCAAAAAGGGGGAGATTGTTAGAACACAAATTGGTTCTTAATAATAACTCTTTGTTTTGATGATAACTGTTAGGAAATTTATATTTAAGAATTATATACTCTAAAATTTGTTTGAGAGTTTTACTGCAGATTGAAATAATATTAACTCTCTAGAAGCAAATTTGTTCTGAATACAAGAAGTTATTCTGACTCTGAAGCGCCAGATGCACCTTATAGAAGAATTTGTTTGCTCCTTACAGAAGATCCTGAGCGTAGTCTCCAGAAGGATCTGAAGCAAGAAGCTCCAGAACATTCTGAGTCAGAAGCATCTGAAGATAATCAGAAGCATCTGAAGCTGAAGCATCTGAAGCATAGAAGAATATTTATTGAAGAGTTTCTCAAAGCATTTATCTACAGAAGTTTCTGAAAGTACCTACGCTGCCTAGTACTGAAGCTCTGTGTCAAATATGCTCTGATGATCAACACGCTGAAAGCACACATGCTGCAGAAGACTCTGATACAGCATAGTTCTGAATCTCATTAGAAGACTCTGATCCATTCAGACTCTGAAGATCTTGCTGAAAACTGAAGAAGTAATTTTCAAGAATATATCCGTTGGAGTTGTTCAACGTCTCTTTCCTTATTTGTGCTAGACACACTTACACAGACAAAAAGGATTTTTCTGTGCCATCTACTTCTAGGAAAGGTCACTTGATGTGAAGACAAAAAAGGCTCAGACCTTTTTGGAACTCTCTTTTCAACGCTCAGCTTGCATGGATCAGCTGCCTATAAAAGGAGAACTTCACCACATTCTTCAGTTACACACTTTGCTGAAAAGAAATCATTATATTCTAAAGCTCTCATTCATTCTTATTCTTCTTAGAATCTCACTGTACTTAAACTTAAGAGAAAAATCACTGTTGTGATAAAAGCTTTTTAGAAGCATTAAAACTCTTGTATTTAATTTACATTGATTGTAAAGGATATTCCTTAAGAGGATTCAGTTAGAATCAGTAGCTCTTGAGAAGACTAAGAACTGTTGTTCTTAGGTGTTACTATTGTAATCAGTTTGATTTAATAGTGGATTAAGTCCTTGTTGAGAAAGGCAAATCACTCTAGGAAGGGTGGACTGAAGTAGTTGTTTAAACGAACCAGGATAAAAATAATTGTGTGATTATTTTCAAGTCTTAATTTTTCATACTTATTCAACCCCCCCTTCTAAGTATTATCTCACCTTCAATAGTTGCGTCCCATAGCATATCATAATTGTTGGCCTGTATTGGCGGCCCTTAGTGGCAAATTGTTGGCCTGTATTGGCGGCCCTTAGTGGCAAATTGTTGGCCTGTATTGGCGGCCCTTAGTGGCAAATTGTTGGCCTGTATTGGCGGCCCTTAGTGGCAAATTGTTGGTCTGTATTGGCGGTCGTAATTGCAATCTGGTACCACATGCATATGCACAATTGAGTCGCATAGAGTCGCATTTTTGTTGTGTTTGCACGTGATGATGTGTTGATGAGATATCTTGCTCGTCGTGGCAGATATGAGAGATGAATCATTGTAGTAATTGTTTATGATATTTATTAACTGTTTTAGTGTTATTGTTTTAATTGAATTCCTTGTTGCTGAATTTTATTAAGTACTATGGCAAATAGATTGGTTGTTTCTGATAATGCCAAATGTTGCTTGGATGCATAGCTGTTTTAGTGAATTGATGCAAGATAATTACTTGCTGAATTTTAATGGAATTTAATTATTACGAATCGTTGGAAGTGTATTATAACATGTCGTTTTATGATTAAAATGTTAAATAAATTATCTTGTTTGTTCACCCAAATTTTGTGCTACGTATGTTAGTAAATGATCTTTTGCAGGTGTATGTGTTTTGGTTAAGTGTTGAAATGTGACACCTCTGATGCGTCCCAGATTTTAGGAGTGTGACGGTCGTCACCACTCCCTGACGCTCGTCATGACCGTGACGGTCGTCACCACTCCCTGACGCTCTTCATGACCGTGACGGTCGTGACATCCATGACGGCCGTCATGAAACTTTAATTGCTACACTCTGATTGTTTATGTTGTTTCTCTTATTTTTCCGCGAGAGTTTAGAGTGGGGTGTTACACTTACTATTGTAATCAGTTGATTAAATAGTGGATTAAGTCCTTGTTTGAGAAAGGCAAATCACTCTAGATAGGGTGAACTGGAGTAGTTGAGTTCAACGAATCAGGATAAAAATACTTGACTTTTTACTTCTAAGTTTTATCTTCATACTTATTCAACCCCCCTTCTAAGTATTTTCTCACCTTCACTTCCTTCACAAGATCTCAAAGATCTTGATAACAGAAAACCAGATTTATCTTCTTGCATCAATTCTCATAATTTTGACCCTTCAGGATTAGGAGACTCGCAGGAAAATGCACATTCAGATGATCAATCACCATCGTGATTTTCTTCCCACAAACTACTCAACAATTGCTCTAGATACCAAATGTTGGAATTAACCGAAAATTTTGAGAATTCTGAATCAATCTTAATGAAAAATATTCAATCAACCGATCGAAATCCATTGTTATTCACTCTTCACTCAAGTGAAACAATCACACCTTGATTGAAAGAATAATTCTGCGCAGTAATTGTTAATGAAGAAGAAAGAAAATTGAATAAGAAAGAAGATTAGGGTTTGACAAAATAAGGGAAAGCGGAGGATGATTTTTGCAGAGTAACTCTCTGCTATAAAATTGAGAAAATATTATTCAACTGTGTAACTGCATTTTCTGTCGTGTGTTACAATATTATTCTCTATTCTTATTACTCAGAATAGGGTTTACTCCCTCTATTTACAATTGAGCTACCTTGCTCCCTAAAATAAAGTTCAAAATTACAAAAGTTCAAAATTTCTATTTTGGTTTAAGTCGAAATCTTGTATCAAACTTGTTTCGACACTTTAACATTTAACACAACTCGACACACATTAAACTAATTTCGTCACATTATTATTTCCGTCTAACTACACTTATTTCGACACAAGAAATTACAATCTCAACAAAAACTATGACTTTTATGATTCTCCAACTAATTGTTAAGTCATTCAAAAAAAAAAACACATAGGGAATAGTATAATAAAGTAACACGTCAAACATGAATGCACTTTAAGCATTTGTAGTGAGTGAGTTACTCTTGACTTACACACACTTTCTACCGTTATGACAATTCTTCACTTTGTCTTCCCATCCGTTATTTTATTTTCTCCCCTTAAAAACACTAGACCTTTTGTTTTCACCTTTTAAGCTACCTTTATAACATCATCATCTATTCCTTAGAAATTGTACAATTACCACATTGTTATTAGTTACTCTAATTCAAGCCATGTCTCCTTCAATCCTTCTTTTCCTTACTCTATTCGCAATCGCAGGTTACTTCCTTCTTCTTGTTCTTTTCTTTTTCTTTCTTTCTAACCATTTATTAACAGTTTAACACTATTCTGAACTTTTGAAGTAAAAGAAGTAATGTTACTTTCTTTGAAGGAATTTTTCTCGGGAAAATGCGAAAACTAACTTTCTTTAACTTTTTCAATATTCTTGCAGACTCGCAGTCCTTCATCGGAGTTAACTACGGTCAGATCGCCAACAATCTTCCCGCACCGGATGTCTCCGCCAGGCTTATCCAATCCACCACCATCGGGAAAGTTCGCATTTACGGCGCCGATCCTGCTATCATAAAATCTTTTGCTAACTCCGGCATTGGAATCGTCATCGGAACCTCAAACAGCGATATTCCAAGTCTAGCTTCGGATCAAAACGCGGCGAAACAGTGGGTAAACACAAACGTGTTGCCTTATTACCCTGCCAGTAACATCATTCTGATCACCGTCGGTAACGAGGTTTTAACCTCCGGTGATCAAGGACTTGTGTCACAGCTTGTACCGGCAATTCGAAATGTCCAAACTGCCATCAGCTCGGTGTCTCTTGGTGGTAAGGTGAAGGTGTCCACCGTACATTCCATGGCGGTGTTGTCTCGGTCGGATCCACCGTCGTCCGGGTCGTTCAACCCGGTTTTACAAAACACACTGAATCAGTTACTAGCGTTTCTGAAGGATAACAAATCGCCGTTTGCGGTTAATCCGTATCCGTTTTTCGCCTACCAGAGTGACCCGAGACCCGAAACACTTGCGTTCTGTTTGTTTCTACCTAATTCGGGTCGGGTTGATTCGGGTAACGGAAAGCTTTATACCAACATGTTTGATGCTCAGGTATAAGTCTCTTCTTTTTCCTTTTTTTTTTCATATTTGGTCTTTTTTTTCTTGTTTAATTAATTGATTAATTAATGTTTTTAAATGAAAAGTTTACGTGAACATATTGAAGAGACACTTTTTCTGTTTTTCCACACTCTATTCGAACGTGTTGCTAGAATTACGAAAAGTCTAATATTCCATTCCGGTCGTTTTTATTTTTGTTTTAAGGATCATGATATATTTGTGATTAAACAAAAATATTACAGTATATTATTATTTATTTATTTTTATATCGCACATGCACTTTATTTTTTTACCTTTTTGCTTTGGAATATGAAGAGACCTCCTTGAAGATTTTCATCGACAACACTTTATGATATATTTATTGTACTATTTTTCAACTCAAATATTTGTTCATATTAACGTCTCAGGTTCTAAACCCTAAGGCTAATAGTGGGGCAGTTCCTGCAGAATTTCGCTATGCTTAGGGACGGATACAGAGTTTTAAAAACGCAGTTTCTTGATAAATTTTAAAACTATTTTTTATCATAAATTATTCCAAAATATGTTTTTTTTTTAGTTATATGGCTTAAGCTTTCCTTATTGAACTTGTGGAAATGTTTGATGTGGACATAAAGCAAACAAATACTGTGCTATTTGTTTAGTAGTCTAGTGTAGAACTGAAGTTATTCTTATCTATCTATCTATAATTGAGAATGATCCCTCTATTTTATTTGTTTGGTTTTCCATGTGAAATAATGAGTCCATAGATTATTATTACACGTCATGAACTTTGATTGGAGACAGGCTGGCAAAGATAAAGTGGTCACATATATAACAAGTCCTTCCAAACTCTCAATAATTGTATAGACATAGTAAAGAAAAAGACCCATAGTAATAGTACTAAACAATATAGTAATGGTAGGTAGAAGTAGAACCTTACCCTTTTTTCGTCTCATTAAATAAAGAGGTAGACAAGTTTCCTAATTAACATCCTAGTTTTTGTCCACTTGCCCCCTCTGATTTTTGACATATTGGAGAAAGATGTGCATTTAACTTTCTTGGTGATTTTTTTGAACAGGTTGATGCTGTGCATTCTGCTCTGAGTGCAATGAAGTATGATGACATTGAGATTGTGGTTGCTGAAACAGGATGGCCTTCTAATGGGGACAGCCATGAAGTAGGACCAAGTGTTGAAAATGCCAAGGCCTATAATGGGAACCTTATTAATCATCTTAGATCATTAGTTGGTACACCTTTGATACCTGGAAAATCTGTGGACACTTACATTTTTGCACTCTATGATGAAAACCTCAAATCTGGCCCGGGTTCCGAACGCGCATTCGGCCTTTTTAAAACCGATCTTACCATGTCGTATGATGTTGGCTTGGCCAAATCTAACCAACAGGTGAAGAATCTCTATTAGTTACGTCATTTATCATATAATATTCGTTACTAATGCGTATATGATTTTTCACAGAATCCGCCGCCAACTAGTCCGGTTACTCCAGCACCTAGGACTTCATGGTGTATTCCAAAAGCAGGAGTTTCTGATGCTCAATTGCAGGCCAATATTGATTATGCATGCAGCCAAGGATTAGATTGTAGACCAATACAACCAGGAGGAGTATGTTTTGAACCAAACACATTACAATCCCATGCTGCTTTTGTAATGAATCTCTACTACCAAACATTTGGTAGAAATCAATGGAACTGTGATTTCTCTCAAACAGCAACACTCACATCCCAAAATCCAAGTAAATGTTCTTTCTTGACACTTTTTTCCCTCATGATCAAGTCTTTGTTTCAATGATACTTGTTTGTTAAAGTTTGTTTTCTTACTTGATTTTCCTCTTTTGTTTGTAGGTTACAATGGTTGCAATTATGTTGGTGGGGAGTAACTGAAAAAGCAGATGTTTCAGTTTGACCCTAGTTAATAAATTTTGTCTAAATAAAGTATTAATTTTAGTTTTAATTTTAATCAACAAATAAGGGCTTATTCTCGGCCCTTTTTTTATTTATAACCTTTTAATTAATTTAGTATGACTTAAATTGTAAAGGCATTTCGATTCTGCCTTATTCTATTTTCTTGTTAATAATATCTCCTTTGGGTTTGAGCTTGGTGCTCTATAATGTGTGATTGGGTAATCCATTTTTCATTGGTTAACTGGAAAATAAGTAATCAAATTATTGACATGTTACATCAAAATATAATTTTCGGAATTGCATATGTTTTACATATTTTACAGTTTCTTTTGATTTTAATCTAACAGTTGAGAAATTATAAAAAAATAATTAAATTAAAAAATACATATAAAAAAAGACAGAAATTACGAGGAGCTATTCTTTTTACCTCTTACCTTATTTTTTTTTCTTTTTAATTTTAACCCTTTTATGTTTAATTTTCACATTTATCACAGTTATTTCAACAAAATAAAATTTATCTCCTAATAAATTTTATTTTGTATTCTATTTTGTCAAAATGATAATGATAAATGTTAAATTTTGAAAGTTAAAATTAAAAAGGTTAAAATTATAAATAAAAAATAAAAAAATAGAAGATGTAAGATAAGAGGTAAAAAAATAATTTTCTTTTAAAATTCTTGTCCATATTTTTCCTCTCTTAAATGTATTTTTTCTTTATCATTTCTCAACTATTAGATTAAAAACAGAAGAAATGTCCAAATATACAAATTAGGAAGGGATTCAATTCCATAATTTTCATATCAGGTTTGCTATGTTTACACCCATTTCTACTCCTTACACCTAATTTACTATTCACAAATACGTGAACAAATTTTTCAGAACATGGTTAATAATATGTATTTTATTGGTTAATGAAGTAGTAAAAATAGTTAATAAATTATAGGTAAAATAATTAGCTAATGATGTAGATTTTTGTGATTAATGCAACTGTGAAGTTGGTTAATGCACAATCTTTTTAAAATAAATATATTTATTAAAAAAATTAATATTTTAAAAAAATATATTATTTTAATAAAAAAACACTGTTCACCGTATAAAATACGGTGAACAGTGCATATGGCGTAGGTATTTAGGTGTAGGAAAGGAGGTAAGAATAGCATTTTTCTTGATTATTTGTAGTAATTTTTCTTTTGTTGCAATTGTTACTTTGAATATATTATTCTATTAGTTGTAATACAAAAATTAATATTGTTTCTCATTCTTAAGTCCTTGATAAAAGTGAAGTAAGAGGAATAATAGTCAAAATATCAGGTAGGATTTGTTTATCTAATAACCCTAGGATTTGTTTATCTAATAACCCTTTGACTATATGAATATCAATTTTTGACAATATGAATATCAATTTTGTCATATAACTCTAACAAAAAATATCACATGAACACCTTACAAAAAGTATACGTGTTAGGCATTAAAAAATCAAGCAGTATGTGATGATGAACATGTATTCCTTCCTTTCTCATATTGGCTTCAACTTCAAGTTATATGTAAAGATTCTTCTCATATTTCCTTGGCACTTTTACTGCATTATTTTTGCATAATTATGTGTTTTCATGACTAAGATTTTCTAGTCATTGCAGAACTAATGAGAATGATTGCACTCATTGTTCTTCACATGGGAATCCATTACATAGGGCTGCAGCGAATCTTACTTAGAAGTGTTGTATATTTAACTTTTATTATTTTAGTTGTTGATTTATAAATATGAATAACTTATTTTTATTAATTTATAAATATAAATAAATATTATCGCTAATGAATGAATTTTGAACTAGCAGTTTAAAATTATTTAATTCAATATTTTTTTTTAATTATTATTTATTCAATCAAATAATTTAATTATTTAAACAATATATAAAGAAAATGATAATGAATTGTGTAACCATTTATTTTCCCAATTCCACCTTTCTTTTATTTTTATCAATATTAAACCTTGAATTTATAATTTTTTTTCCTTATAGAACAGAAAATAAAATTTAGTGTTCGATGAAAAATTATACATATTAGAGTATCTATCTATACGCTAGTATAAGATTCTAAACAAGAGTGCAATTCACAAGAACATTACTTTATTTTTCAATATATGAAGGCAATACATGTTATTTGATTAATACTATTTTATTTTAAAGATGAGTTCAATTACTTTGCTTTACCACACTGAGAGAAATTGACTTGCATATAATAATAAAGGATCAAACTCCAGCAAATTTTTCCAATGGGGCCTCATCTATTCCAGTTGAATATTGATAATTGACATACTCATCATACTCAAACGGACGGTAGCGGAGAGGATAGTTTTGATCATCCACAAACTCTGATGGTGCCTCAATTATCATACCTTCCTTTGGTACTGCAAAAAATATAAATGCAAATCTCTCTTCATCTCTTGCCACCACTCGGTGTGTGGCCGCCTCAAGTCTCCCATTACTCCATGCCTGAATTAAACATTGAAATTCTTCTAAATTAAACTCATTCTAAATTTTAATGAATGATAAAATGATAAGGAGAATGATCTCAAACTCGGTTTCTCTATTATAAGTTGACATTTATTACCTGCAATATATCACCAGCAACTACCACAAAGCCGTTGGGGGGAATATTTACATCAACCCAATTGCCTATTTTGGGTAGCACCTGTAGACCTTGGACTCCATTGTCACATATAAGGGAAATGGTTCCTTTGTCAGTGTGAGATATAAAACCAATATTAGAACCATTGGACTCTTTTGAAGTTGAGTACCTAGTCATTCGTGCATCATTGTAGTAATTCAACTCTTCAACATTCAAGTTGTAATGTTGTGGAAGCTCAAAAGCTTCTACAATCATCTTTAAAATAAGTGAACTTAGTTCACGAGCTTTTGAGGCATAGGAACTTAGTGCTGCACTGCATATATATCACAGATTTTTCCACATTTTATCAACAAATGATAAATTAATTTGAAACTAAATATGCTAAAGTAACTTTTCTTATAATAATTTAAAAGATAATATATATATATATATATATATATATATATATATATATATATATATATATATATATATATATATATATATATATATATATATATATATATATATATATATATATATATATATATATATATAACTTTTAATATGTAATTGAAATTATATAATCAAAACTCATACATGGCTAACAAGTCTTTACGTGTGTATGGGGTGAGTGTGTGATGTATTTTAATAAAATAAAATATTAATTACCTAAAAGTTGGATTTCCTTGAGGCCACATGAGATCAATGAAATCTTGGTGAGCGGTTTCTGGATTAAGATCATTATCAATTCCAAAGCTTTCAGAATATGGAATGACACGACTTTTTGCCATGTATCCCCTATAAGCCCTTGGGCTGATAAACTTTTTCTTAGTTTCTTCAGGTAAGTTAAACAATGATTTCATGCCTGTGAAAAATCCATCATGTAAATCATTTGAAATATCATCACATCTTACAAGAAAATAACCGTGACTTTCAAATGCTTCTTTCACTTTCTTGCTCATTTCTTTCCATTCTTTGCCCCCTTCTTCTAAAATTACTTCATTCTTCCTATTAACATCCAAAATTGGGATCTCATTCTTTGTAACCATTTTTTAAAATTATATTTCGTACTATATTTTGTAATTTATTTTATTGTTCTCGATAGAGGCACAACTATATATATACCTAACAGATGAGTCACCTATAGTAAAATTTGATTCATGAGATTTTTGTTTTAAAAAATTCTATTTGAGAGAGTAATTAACTTACTAGTGTGCATGATAATGGTAGAAAGCAAAATACTTACTTTTTATTTTCCTTACCTATTTTGCATTTGATGTCAATATAAATATAAGACAAATTTTATTTTCTTTTTAATAAATAGAAAATAGATAAGGAAAATAAAAAAGAAAACATTTTGTTTTCTTTCATTAACATGAACATATATAAGATTTCATACTTAAAATAAGCGTTGGAAAATGAAAGAATTTGAACTAAAATATTGAAAGCGTGATGTGAAATCACAATAAAATTGTGGGAACCTACTATTTTTCAATATAAGACAAATTTTATTTTCTTTTTAATAAATAGAAAATAGATAAGGAAAATAAAATAGAAAACATTTTGTTTTCTTTCATTTACATGAACATATCTAAGATTTCATACTTAAAATAAGCGTTGGAAAATGGAAGAATTTGAACTAAAATATTGAAAGTGTGATGCGAAATCACAATAAAATTGTGGAAACCTACTATTTTTCAATATAAGACAAATTTTATTTTATTTTTAATAAATAGAAAATAGATAAGGAAAATAAAATAGAAAACATTTTGTTTTCTTTCATTAACATGAACATATATAAGATTTCATACTTAAAATAAGCATTGGAAAATGGAAGAATTTGAACTAAAATGTTGAAAGCGTGTTGTGAAATCGCAATAAAATTGTGGGAACCTACTATTTTTTTTTTGAAATTGAACTATGCATTGAAAAAATAAGTATTTTTTTTAATTGTGTTATTTTGATTTTTTATTTATTTTCAATTCTCTTTTTAAAAAAAATTCAGCATTTTGGTAGGTAGATTTTAGTTTCTTTTTATTCTTTTGATCACCTTTCTATTTTGTGTATTTGGCATCTAATTTTGTGAAGTGGCCTTAACTTGGTATTGTCTATGTGGTGTTAATTTTCGTGTACACGTCATATTTATAAAAAACATTCATTTAAAAATATTATTTAGTAAAATTAATAAACAAAATAATATTTATCATTATAATTAATATTTATAGAAAGTGTAACAAAACATTATAAAGAGAATGAGTAAGTTCTAAAGAAAACAACATTTTATTGTTTAAAAATAGAGAAAACTTTTGAATCCCAACAATGACACCAGCAGTGGCGTTCTAATGAAGTTGTTTTTGTTTTTTAAAGCTAGTAGAGAAACAAATGATTGATTGAATGGTCGCAGAGATAATGTTTATACAATATTATTTTCATGGTTATATATTTACTGATGTATATTGATCTGACTTGATCAGGAGGGGACCACGGTCTGGCCACACACTGTTGGGCTGCTACCTGTTCACCGGATATGAGGAGGAGGAGGGGGGTGTATCTGCAAGACACTCTGATGCCAAAGTAAGAGATTGGGCAGAGCGAAAGCAAAAGTACAGAAGGGGGCAAGATGAGAGAGTTACCTGACCCTCTTGAGTAAGAGGGTATTTATAGAGAGACCCCAGCGCTGGGCCAACGGTCACTTGTGTTGGGCTGGATGGTCAGGCCCAACTCAGGTGACTGCTAGGGCTTACGTGGCGTAGTGAAGACCAGGACGTGGTCTTCGCCCTAGTCCAACTGTCCCGTGGTCTCCGGAAAGTGGGTTTGACCTGCTCTTTCGGAGGTGGGCAGTTGGGGATGACGTGTCCCCGCGGAGGGGAGCACGTGGAGAACGTGCACCGGGCACGTTGTTCTCCCCGCGGAGGGGAGCTCGCGAGATGCCCCGGAGCGTGTTGTTCTTCCCGCGGAGGGGAGGAACCAAGACCGCGCTTTGGTGTGCCGGGGTTGGTTCTGCTCGGCTGGTAAGATGGATGACGAGCTGATGTTGGATGCGCTGCTCGTGTCCGGCGGCATTCTCTGCTCGCCTCATGGGACGCACGTGCCCGGCGTGACCGATTCACCTGTTGGGCCGTACGCGGTATTGGGCCTGCCGAGGTCGGGCCCAGACCGGAACAGGAGCCCCCCAAGTCGAAGCTCTGGGGAGAGAGAGGACTTAAGATCGCTGTGTCGGGGAAGAGGTAACAGAGCGGGAGGTTCGTCGGGATCCGTGCACGGTGGAACGGCTACCCACGCGTCGGCAGCAATGGGGTGAAAGCAGGCGAAGGGGTGCAACTGTCAGGCTGCCGCCACGTGTCGTGTGTTAAGAGGTCATAGGGGCGGCTACCCTATGTCATTAATGAGCCTAGGGTCGCTTCGAATCCCGCGCCGGGTTATAAATATGGGGGTCCCCGCTCATTCTATTACTTTTCACTCTGCTGTTGTACCTGCGAAGCTTTGTCCCCTCTGCTCGTCCGCCGCTTGTCGTCGATCGCCGCCGCACCGTTTGATCCTTTCCTCTGTTCGCCGCCGTTACAAGTGAGTTCTCTTTTCTCTTCTCTTTTATTTCCGTCGTTTAATTGGAACGTGTGGTCGGGGCATGATGAATGCCCCGAGGAGGGACGCGAGACCCGCCGTGTCTGGCGAACTTTCTAATGAGTGTCTCGGGGAGGATCGGCTGGTTCCGATGAATGTCCCGAGGACGGGGGCTTTCTCCGATGAATGCCCCGGGAACAAGTGCCTTTACCGGTGGATGCTCCGGGGAGGCGCGCTTTTTCTGGTGACTGTCCCGAGGGGGGATGGCGGGTCGGCTTTAGATTCCCCGAGGAGGGTAGACAGGGAGCGAGCGTTTGTTCGTCGTTTTCCGGCCTTGGTCGCCCTTTCACTTGACCTGCGGTGGAAGGGTGGATTTGATCCTGGCTATCGAATTCACCGTTGTCCTCTACTTTTCAGGTGTAGATGTCGGCTCTGGTACCGGGGATAATGGTCGAAGACAACGAACCCGAGATTCCGGATTTTGACGACGAGCGCATTGCCCCGTCCGAGGAATGGGCGGCCGAGGAGCCGCTCTCTACCCCGTCTTGTTTTGTGGCCGATGCGTCCGACGTGTATGCCACGGTCGAGGACACGCCTATAGGGGAGCCACAACACTGGCAGGTGTACCGACCAAAAGAACATCATCATATTTGCTCGCGATATGGGCGGCGGATGTTTCCGATGCATGAGTTCTACTTTAAAGAAGCTCGGCTCCGGTTACCGTTCTCCAACTTTCATCTGGGGCTCTTTGATTGGTTGCGCCTGGCCCCGTCTCAATTGCACCCCAACGCCTTGGCTTTTATCCGGGCTTTCGAGGTGGTGTGCTTCTACCTCTCGGTGGAGCCGACGGTACCGTTATTTTTCCGCATCTTCCACTTACAGCGGCAGACGGTGAATGACCGCCACTGATGGGTTTCTTTTAAGCAATCGACCAAACTTTTCAAAGCGTATAGTGACTCCGTCGAGGATTTCAAAAGCCGGTTCTACCTCGTCAAAACGATCACGCAGCAGGGCTCGAACACTCTCTTCGACGAGGGCGAGCGAACGGTAGATGGCCAGCGGTTCCTTGCATGGCTTCCTAAGATACATCTACTGTGGACTGCGGAGCATTTTAGCCAAGGAACGGATAGGTATATCGTCCGGGCGGGGACCCTCGAGGAGAAAGATATGGCCGCCTATTTGAAAATAGTTGCCTTTGTGCGGTCTCTCCCTCCGTCGAAGTTGGTGACGCCCAACGGTCGGTATATCCTCGACGCGCAGGGGAATGTGCGTACTAAGAAGCGTTTGATTAATACCAAGACCCTGCTCGGTTGTGCGACCGGGGCGGCTGCTCTGGATTATCTAGGTAGGAATGTTCGTTTTTCTCCCCGTGGTCGGGGCTTCGACCGTCGCTAACTCTTTTCTTTGTTTTTGCAGCGAACATGTCTTCCGTCGAGGAGCGGGTGAAGCAATTGCGTGCCACCAGGAATGCCGTGGTCCCGAGGACGAGGGTGAGCCAGCTGGTCGGACAGGAGGTCGCGACACCGGGGGGGGCAGAGTTCGTCCTCTTCGCCTCAAGAGAGTCAATCTCCTGCGTCTCAAGGAGCATCGAAGAGGCAGCGGTCCGAGGAGCCCCGAGGTGTGGTAGATCTGACGGTCGGTACTGCTGAGGAAGGTTATGTCGTCCCACCCTGCCATCAGCATCCAGGCTATTTTCATGGTGCCCGTTCTCCCACCGTCTCCGCTGGGGAGGTGAAGGTTGTTCGTCAGGCCGATCGAGAGACTCGTCGACGGGTTCTGGCTGAGGACTTGGCTGCAATGATGCGGACGTTCACAACGGCTCTTGTGCTGAACGAGGAGGGCTGCTCCGCTGCTGAGCTGTCCAAACTGCAGGGGGGTCTTACTTTCATGCAGTCGCGATTGGCCAAGCTCACTAAGGAGTTGGAGAAGAGCCAGAAGGATGTTGCTGAGCAGCGGAAACGGGCAGAGGGTGCTGAGGGGAAGGTGACTTCGCTGGAAGAGAAGCTGGGGGAAGCGACGGCCGAGGTGCAGGCGCTGAAGGTTCGCACGGAAGTCTTAGACAGCACAGTCCGTCCGGCCGAGGACGAGACAGATGGAGATCGACGATTAATTACTCGTGCTGACCTGATTGCCCATATCCGGGTGTTGGAAAGTGACTGTCTGGAGGCTGTTGAGGTCGGATTCAAGAGTGCTGTTGAGCAGGTTCAGGTCGCTAATCCTGGCGTCGTACTGGCCGTGGATGGGATCGGGCCGTACCACGAGATTGTTGACGGGAAGGTGGTCGATCCCTATCTTGTTATTCCCGAGGAGGAACCCGTGACTGCTGACCGGGCGGACGAGGTAGCATAAGTTGCCGGACCTACGTGCTCGTTGTTTTTATGGCATGCGTGCCGATGTTTGCGACATCTTTCTTTGGGCCTGCGTGCTCTGTTTTTGTACTATTGACTACTGGGCTGGTGCCTGCCTTTAATATATTTTTGGTGAATTT